CGTAAAACTTTGCGTGAATAATGCGTTTAAGATATGCCACCTTGTGACCAAAAATTATCTAAATTGAACCAAAACTGTTCAAGCCCCTAGGTACTGAATATGTGGACCCCAGTGCCTCTAGTTGACTTTTTACCGAAAATATCGGTGAACATAGAACAAGGCGGCAAGATCCGCAAAGAAATCTAAAACGAGTATACCATTTGACTTTGCGAGAGTACAAAATGTTCGGTTACATTCGAACTTAGCCCTTTCTTACTTGCTTGTTTATACTTTTGTCATTACTAATTATGTAAGATTAAAAAAATAGATTTGAAGAAATTAAGTGACATTTCATTCATTTCATTTTTTTTCTGCTTCATGGAAGCCAATTTGCGCTCTTATTATTTTGATTTTGTACACCAGTACCATACTTTGTACCTCTAAAGTATTCGAATAAACCTTTAATTGTCTCCTGAATGATTTCACATTCTAATCTTCATCAAGCTCGCACAATAACTTCGTATAGGCATACAAGTAACAAAAGAATTATATGGTTGTCATTACATGCCAAATTCTAAGAAGTTTGCGCTTTTACGGAACGGAGCTTTAAATAAAAGGACTCTAAGGGGAGAAAAATCGCGTACATCACTTTACCTTGTGAGAGTATAAAATGTTTGGTTACACCCGAACTTAGACCTTCCTTACTTGCTTTATATAACATTTTATGAAATCAGTTCGTACTTTCTTCTTATACCAAATTCTTTTCCCAAACTATCTAAAACCTATGTACATACATATGTATGTGTAAAATATTTGCCCTAATTTCGATTTCAAGGTGGTTGGATCATTGAAAACGAAAAAAATCGATTTTTTATTTTTTTGCTTAATCTTTTCCAAAACTATATAAAAACAATTGTATGTGTAAAATATTTGCCTTGATTTCGAAATGGATCCAAAAGTCAGTCGCAGTTAAAACTTTGAAGTGCGTTTTCTGAATACCATGGTTATGCAATTGGCCCGATTGCGTAAAAACTCAATCTGATTCAACTTCTATTTTGTAAAGTATGGAAAAATGTTTTTTGTGAACCAAATTTATGAATAATTATAATAATCTTTGTAATTTCATAAGTGAAAGTATGCACAAGTTGTGTATGGAAAATTTATTCCAAAGTTCAAACATAGAAGAAATTTAAATTTTAAATTTTTATTGGTTTTGCGGAAGAATATAAAAAAATATAAAAATTAACATGATATAGTTATTTACCAGAAATTACAATTAGGAATTACGGGCGTCACTTTGCACGCCAATGGGCGGTATCAGATGCGAGACGTTTCACTGCTTCCTCCACCATTTTGCAATATTTTTGACTGATTCAATCTTTAAAACCAATTTTCAGATATGCACTATAAATACTCTTTGAACGAATTGTCTACAGCGTTTTCATTCATTCAAAAAAGCGATTGGTTTTTGCCTCTAAATGAAGCGACCCTTAATTGTTGCAGGAATATTAGGTTTCATCTAAGTGAGATAGGAAAGGAATGAGGAAGAAGCGATAAAAAATATGCAGTAAATACTTTTACCTGCAGGTCTAAGGAAGAGTTTGAAGATATAGCAGAATTATTTGCATACTAATTTCCATTTTTATTAAAATTCGAAGAAAGTTCGGCAATATTTTCAAAAAGTAGGAGTCTAAATTCGGAAACCGAAGTTTTATTTGCATTCATAAGAGCGATAAGTGCCGGTTTACATACGGATTCTTTTGTCGCCCATACCGGTGGTTTGTGGGCAAGGGGACCATGGGGAAAGACGAAGGGACCATTCCGCTCGTGCTCGGGTGGCACGCTTTCTTTTCTTATTCGTAACAGCTAGCTGCTACGCATTCGGCATTCCTTTTTATTTTGAAATTCCTTTCATGCTTGCAATAGCGCTCAAATGAATAATTACATACAATTTGAATGTTATTATATATTTTTGTATGTAATACTTGAATGCAAATACGCATTATACAATAGAAATTTATAAGAATTTGGGAATAAACCGACTCAATGAGCGACACCAAAAGATAATTTGCTTATAATGAGCAACAAAAGCTTGAACGCCGTTTAAGAGATCAACTTTGAAATAGTAAGACTTGAACTATAAACATACATATAACAATTAATGGATGTGTTTTTGCATGTGCCTAGGAAAGTTTTTTCTCTGTCAACGAAGCAACACAAAAGTAGTGATCCCATACAGTGGTGCCATTATTAGTTTACTTGTTTACTCGAGTTGGTTATTATTTCCCCAGTAATTGCTCGAATTCGTCGTGGAAATAAGTTTTTGCGAATATTCCCACACATTGCCGTATGCCTATGCACTTAGGTATGTTTGCCAACCATACATATGTCTATATACATACCTACCTATATTTATGAATGCACTAACTCTAATAACCCTACAACAAACTCCTGTCTACAAGAACAGAGAAAGCGTAGAATAAAGTTTCTATAATTTTCTTAAGGGCAGTGAGCCAAAAGTGGTGTAAACAAACGTATACGTGTGAATTTGCATTATTCTTTAACACATCATTAACTACTATTTCTATACTGCTCACTCCCATGCCGTTTTCTAAGTCATTGCTGATCATAAATTCATCAAAGCTGAAAATGTCAGTCATGACTCTAAATCTATCACACTTGAAAATTGTCCGTAATGACTGAAAATCTATCAAACTAAAAATATATTTTTTTTAATGTTAAGCGACAAAAATGTGCAACATGTTTTATTTTTCGCAACGAATGCCATTCTTGGTATTTCACAACGTCTCGAAACTCCTATGAAAATGTGTGCTGTAACTTTTTGACATGTGTATACAAAATTGGTTTTTGGGTAACTACCCTTCAAGAACAGTGACAGTTATCTGACCGGAAATATGACAGTCACAGCTGAAAACATTTTGTCAGGGCGCAGAACAAAGTTTCTATCATTTTCTTAAGAGAGTGCAAAAACTGATGTAAACAAACATATGTGTGTGAGTTTGCATCTCTCTTTAAAACATGGGTATTCGGAATTGATTAATTTATTATCTATACTGCTCGCTCTCATGTCTTTTTCTGAGTCATTGCAGGCCATAAATCCATCATTGCTGAAAATTGTGAGTTATGACTAAAACGCTATCATAGCAATTTGTCAGTTATGACTCTAAACCTATCACAAGTGAAGAATTATTTTGCGCAGTAGATAATATAATTTTTATACTCTTGCAACTTGTTGCTACAGAGTATAATAGTTTTGTTCACCAAATGGTTGCTTGTCTCACCTAAAACTAATCGAGTTAGATATAGGATTATATATATATAATGTTGTGGAGCTTAGTTATGGCAATTTATTTGATTCTGAATTATGGCGTTTTGTGGGCGTGGCAGTCGTCTAATTACACCCATCTGCAATACAAACCGTCTTACGGTATCAAGAAACATGTGTACCAAGTTTCATAAAGATATCTCAATTTTTACTCAAGTTACAGCTTGCACAGACGGACGGACGGACGGACAGACAGTCACCCGGATTTCAACTCGTCTCTTCATCCTGATCATTTATGTATATATAACCCTATATCTAACTCGATTAGTTTTAGGTGATACAAACAACCGTTAGGTGAACAAAATTATTATACTCTGTAGCAACAGGTTGCAAGAGTATAAATATAATTTTATTTGAAACTTAATAATAACTTACGTATATTATATTTGAAAACTCCTTCGTTATTTATTAATTTTTTTAAAAAGAGTTATTGGGTTATTAAAGGTTTATCGCACGAAATAACAGCTACATAAGTATTTCACAACTTCTCAAAATGTATGTTGTCTCCTGTCGACGTATACAGAATTTTCTTTTGGAAAAATCGTAAACATTGACAGTCATTTTATTGCTCATTTGACTGTCAGGACTAATAAATATGAGTAGATTGGTGAACCCATCAGTCAGTGACAGTTCACCAATACACTCACAGTTCTTATGTCAGTTCTGATCATAGATAAAATGATCCGAAACTCCTTTCTTTGCCTTTCGAGAGAGCTCATGAACTTTCAGTGCTGCCAGGAAAAACCACGAGTTCATGAGCTACTGAACAGATGACAACCACAACAATGACCTACCACTAAGAATCTCGCAGAAATAAATTGCGAAATCAGTGGGTAATTTGTGAGATCAGATTTTTTGGTGACTTTTACGTATATTTTTAATCTTTATTTAAAGAGATTTAATACAGTTTTGTTTTTAAAAAAGAGCGGCTATTTTGTCGCAGAGTATTGTTTTGTTTAGCAGGACCAATTTTGGTTAGATTTCCCAGCAAATGTTATGTAAACTTTGACTTCCGAATAAATTATCAAAAGATATTTGTAATTGATTATATAAAAAAGAAATAAGGTTCATGTTTAGGTTATTTAAAAGTAAGTGTTTTGAAATATTAAATTATTTTGTTAAATTAAGTTTTAAACGATAATTTTGAAAATCTTTTGTGATTAAAATATACATGTACATATTTTTAGACGTCATAAAGGATATCTAGATTGTTAAACTAATTTTAAGTATGCATATTTTTCTGGAAAATGGAAACCGAAAAATACCCAAGAAATACATTAAAAAATCTCAAAACGCATTTCTTTATACAGTGGCACCACTGTCAAATGTTATAAACAATGTGGACTTTTACAGCGCTCTCTCGATTCAAAGAGTTTCGGATCATGTCATCCATGGTACTGACGGACATTTACTTACCAACTGATCGACACTGTTATTGTTAAACAGAGACATCTTCGAAATGTATTGCTTACATGTGTAAGAATGAAATAGCTGAATGCTTTAGTACTGTCACTACTGACAGTCAAATGAATAGTAAAATGACTGTCAATACTTACGGTTGTCAAAAAAAAAACACTTATCAACACTAATCATCATTTTTCAGCACCTATCTCTTTCCACAAAAGCAACCCTGTCAAAAAGGACGCATAAAATTCCACATAAGTTTCTCAACCACTGCGCAAAACAATCTTTACTGCTATTCTTGCTACGAACGAAAAGTGTTGAGCTTTAATTTTCAGTGAAATTATATCTCGTGAAAATTATTAAAATATATAATTTCTTAAATAATTTAAAATAAGTTAAAATTAAAAAAAAGAAATTTAAAAATTATTTAAATAAAGAAAAAGGATTTTCGAACCCAAAATAAAAAAATATAAAAAGGGAAGTTGAACAGAACAGTGCAGCACAGTGAACTTGAAAATAAGTAAAAAAGATTAAATGTGTTACAAAAAAATGTGAAGAGAATGATGGTGTTGCATTAGTGAATTGCGAACTTTCGGACGATGCTTTTACTAGGGCCTTTTCTCCAACGAAGTACAGTTGGGATTTCAGCTTCATCATCCTTACGAGATATTTGGTTTTTAGATAACAAAGTAGAATATGAGACGAAAGCAAGTGAAATTAGGTTATGGGCTATAAGAAATAATGTCCCTCAAAATACTTTAAAGGATTTATTAAAAACTTTGCGTAAATAGGAGTTAATTTTTAAATACAAACATTCAACGGTTAACATTGAGACTATGTCTAATGGCGAATTTCTTATAAAGGTATACAAAAATATTTTCTTTCATTATTTCTGTCTGGGAATTGTTTTCTCTAGTAATTTAAGTACTGATGTAAGTAAAATATCAATAGAAGATATAGATTAAAAGTATTTCTGCATCCCTCATGGCGAAAAGTTTCTCATCATTTCTCTTTTGCATCATCTTTTTTACGATTGTTCGCAACAACCCGCACATTCTGTTTAAACGATATAAAAAACATAAATTTAATAAAATTTATATCAATACAAGCAATATGTTTGGCGACTCTATATTTGAGAGCCAAGAACAAAATGGGAAGCGAAACATAAATATGAGATACTCGTATACAATCCATAAACTTTCATATCTATTTCAGATTATCAATTAATGATACAAAAGAAATATATAAAACAAAAGACTACGTAGCAATAACATCAACTCCTTTGAAATGTAAGGAGAATGTGCCACCTCCAGTACAACACAACGGTAATTATAAAATTAACATTAAATTTAATTTTTTAATTTGAATATAATTAAGTTATTTAATAAATTGAAATTTAGATAATTTTGAATATATAGAAATTGTTTTCCTAAGATCTATAGCAGCAAGTAGTATTCAATAAAATGGGTTCGTTGGAAAATGGACAAGTGACGATAACTGCCAATCAAGAACTTATTACTGGTAAAGTGGAAACAATTGAACAAAACGTAAGGATTTTATATATAATAAAATAAAATAAAAGTCAACAGATAAATCGGAGGTACTAACACAAAGCTCCCTGATAAGGGAATGCAAGATGCATATAAGAAAGATTGAGCGATCGGTATGTCTCATGACCGGAGAGGCAAGAGATGACACTATTGATGAGGTAGCAAGCCTTTTACCAATTAAAATGGTTGAGGGATGTCTGGAGGTGGAAGGAAAACTAAAGAGCAGGCTATGGTAAATACGGAGAGCCATTGAACGGAGCCACCACCGAATCCAACAAAAGAAATACGACGATATAAGGAGACGAAAAAAATTAAAATATATTTTTAAGAATTTAATTTTATTAAAAAAATTTTAGTTTTGCAATTTAGATCGTAAATATGAATTATATTAATTCAATTAATCATGTAAATATTATTATTATAAGAAATGAATTATATTGTTCTTTCAGTTAATTATGTGAAAATTCATATATAAAAAAGGAATTATAAGAATTCAATTTATAATGTAAATATTTAAATTTAAAAAAATGAATTATATTGATTCAAGTAATCATGTAAATATTTAAATTATAAGAAATTAATTATATGGATTTTTCAGTGAATTATGTAAATATTTAAATATAAATTAATATATTGAAATTTTATTTCTTTATAATATAATAATAATAGATAGGAAGAAATGTTATTAAATTCTAATGAAACTTATTTTAAGAATTATATTATTTTTAGTAAATTTTTGGTAAAAATCTGAATATTATAAGTCTATAAATAAATAAAAACTATTTTGAACAAAAAAAACTGTCATTAATGATAGATTCACAGTCATAACTGACAATTTGCAGCTATGATAGCTTTTCAGTTATAACTGACAATTTTCAGCTATGATGGATTTATGGTCAGCAATGATTCAGAGAAGGACATGAGAGTGAGCAGTATAGATAATAAATGCATCAATTCCGAATACCCATCTGTTAAAGAGAGATGGAAACTCACACACATATGTTTTTTTACAACAGTTTTTGCACACGGCTCTTAAGAAAACGATAGAAACTTTGTTCTGCGCGCTGACAAAATTTTTTACAGCTGTGACTATCATACGACCGGTCAGATGACTGTCACTGTTCTTGTAAGGTGATCTAACAATTATGAGTGTTGGTAAGCCCATCAGCAGTATGTTGTAGAGTATATTTTTTTTAACCGTTTGTGTATTTAAAGGCCAAAGATAAGTTGACAAAATGTTGTATAGTTTTATAAATTTGTACTTAGATTTGTAGATGCCATATATTGGATGGCTATCAATTGTATGGTGACAACACCCTAGACCCTGAAGAGTAATCAGTGGGTAGATTCAGTTAGTATATTTCAAAGAAGTAAACTAAGAAATATTTTTTTATAAAAATTTATTTTATTTCCAGGTATAAAAAAATTTCAATAAAAATGTAATACAGTTGTTTCAAAGTTACGGTCAGGATTTCTTCTTAATTATGGCTTGCCGTTGGTGGAGGACATTGGCTATATTATATATCCTCATAATATCATTGGTAGCCACATCAGCGCGACAATCATTTAAGCGCTTAAAAATTTCAACGATGATGAAATTCCAAAAGAAGCAAGCTTGGACTCATTAATTGGGGTAAATTAGTATTTTAATTTTATAACTTGATTATTACACATTTTGTGTGTTATTTAAAGGAACTCAATCCTTGGATATATTCCAGTAACATATTATATACGTGATAGTTACGTTTTCATCGCGTTATGGGCTATTAAAATTAACTGTAACAACTTATTAAATTCTTAAGCGAATTGTTTCGTGTAATGTATGGCTAGTAAAAGCGTAATAATCTGTGTAGGTTAACTTTAGATTTTTAACCAATAGTAAAAGTATTGTATGTAAAATAAAATATAATTTTTATAACTGTAGAGGTATATGGAAATGTAAGAAAACTGCGTTTGCCGTTTTTAATTATATCTTAAGATAATGATTTTCAAGTTTTTGTACTCAGATTTTAGCAACATAGTCTACATTCAGACGAGGGCTCGTTTTGTCGACATTTTCCTGCATTTTCTTTCATAGAAAAGGTTGTCACGCCACCTTTGACGGGTGCACCAGTCTTTCCAATACTTTTGAAGTTTTCAAAATCTACTATTTCACAAGTTTTTTCACCCCTTTAGATGTCTATGGAAATGTCAGAAAACACTTCTTTTGCTGATTTTGATTAGTTCTTAAGATAATGAAAATATCTTTATTATTTTGAAATCTTAAGTTTTTGTACGCAGAATTTAGCAAAATAGACTACGTTCAGATGAGGCTGAAGATCGTAATTTCTCTTTTGGTGTCGCTTATGGCGTGAGACTATGTACAGACGAGGACTATGAGTTTTTGTCGCTCATTATTCGCAATTTCTCTTTTGATGCCGCTCATTGCGTTCGCACGAGCGACGCGAGTCTGCCAATTTGAGTCGCATTTTCTTTCAACCCACATTATCAAATTCTCGCACGCTTACCTAATTAGCAAAAACAAAAAGCGTGCCACGCGAATACGAGCGGCACGGTTCTTTCGTCTTTCCTAGTCGTCCCCTCGCCTACAAAAACTGGTTTATACTATGTTCGCACCGACACAAAATTCGTGTTTTTATAGGCAAAAGAGGTTTTCACGCGAAAACTTGTGTTTTCATCCATACAAAATCTGTCAAACGAAAACACAGTTTTCGCTGAAAACCCCTTAAAAACTTACATTCCACTCATTATAATCGGTGCCGGCTCTAGTTTAATCGATATTATTAGAAGACATATTTTGCCAGCCCTAAATGCCAGTTGACAATTTGTTTACATTCCATAATTGGCCTAAACGTACCCTACAAGAAACTGCTGATGGGTTCACCAATACACTCACATTTGATATGTCAGTACTGTTAATTTACATTTGCATTTTTAAATTCAGAACTATCCACTGATTGGAGAAAGACGTACGCAGAGCTATTGAGAGAAGGAGATCGCATCAAGTGAAAATTTATTTTTATGTTTTCATATTTTATTATTTTTTTTGTTGCATTCCTTTTTATATTTAAGTATATTATTATAACTAATTGTGATTAAAAGTTTGAAATTTATAAAATAATTTTTCACTTCTGATAGCGTTTCAGCCATAAGTGACTCAGAAAAAACAAAACAAACAAACAAAAAGAAAACAAGGATCTTAAGAAAATGATAGAAACTTTGTTCTGCGCGCTGACAAAATTTTTTCAGCTATTACTGTCATATTACCCATCAGATGACCGTCACTGTTCTTGTAGGGTACATAACATATGTAAACAAATAGATGTGTGAACTGTCAATGAAAACTCATAGAAAACACACAGTCGGCCAGAACGGCTTTGGTTCCACAATCTACAAATTGTGTTTTCAAAAGGATTTCAATTCGGTGCGAACATAGTATTAGGCAATAAAAAGACTCCTCGTCTGAACATAATCAAAGTGTACATTCATATACTACAAAAACTTTCTAATACCAACAACAATGTCGATGTAAGCGATAACAGTTCGCGATAATGCAAACAAATAGCCCGATTGTTAAATTATAAGCAGCGATGCTGGCAGCGGCCAATGACATTGAGCGAACGACAGCTGATAACGAACCGCTCGAATAAAGGCCAGTAGAGCGGTGTTATTCAACATTCAGAGGAGGATGATAACAACGTATATATGTAAATGTATGTATATATGAATTTCTGTTTGTATTTGTGTGTCATTAATTAGCGCACAAGTCATAAGTACAAAAAAGATGTAATAAGAATTATGTGTATTTAATATTGTCTATTTTCCAACCTTTTGGAAGTATTACACTCACCACTCACACTTCAATATCGTTTCGCAATAATTGAATACACTTGAATATTTTTCGCAGTAATCGAGTAAACTGAATTTTAATATATCTAACACCCACTTGATACAATGTCACTTGCGACGCAGCGCATTAAAAAAAAGAAAAAAATGGAAAAATGGATTGATTGTCCGGTTCAGGTTCGATACTTCTACGGGAATCAGCACGGTGACGAGATGTCCACTTCGAATTTAGATACGCAAAAGAGGCCAGCCGCTACCCGTGTTTTGGTTTTGTTGATGGTTGGTGGGGTGATCGCCGGTGTGTTGGATATCCTGGGTGGTAGTGTCGTTGTGTGAGGTGTATGGTGAATGTTGCGAGAGGTGATGTGGTGAATGTTGCTGATGTGTGATGTAGACTGTGTTAGTTGATGTGTAGATTGTGTTAGGAGTGTTGGCGTGTATGTTTTCGGGACGACGTAGGCTCATTTAGCCAAATATTGATGCAACTTTTGAAATATGGCACAATATGTCGGTTAAAAATTGCTTAGAAATTATGAGTATAAAAATAAAAGATTTAAACACACTGTATGTATATACAGATGTTATCGAAATAATAAGAACAAATGAAGCGAACATAGAAATTCATGAATAAAACTCTTGCAAAAATATTATATTTACAGTTTTTTTCGACAAACATTTGTACATGATTACAGTTTTTGAAGAGGGCAAAACTTGGTTATCATATACTTTTTATGTTTGCAAACTTGAAGGCGTATTTTAGCATATCTCTAGCGGAACAAATCAATTGAAGAGCAGGGTGATTCAAAAATAATTATATTTAAGATGCAATTTTTTTGATAGCAAATAATAATATGGAATTTAATAAAAATTTAAAAACGAAATTTCAAGGATCGACACAAATACTTTTGAATAACGTGCAAGTAAAGTTTTTTTTTGCTGTTCTTTATTCTAAATGCGAAATATTTGCATTTAAAACGTTCATCATAAAATCATGATGTTTTATTATGAGTTGTATTGTTTCTTTGTCATAGTGTTTATTTTTTTTTTATTTGTTATTTTATTAAGTTATATGATTTTTAAAAAAATTATAATATACACGAATTTAGGGCTGTATTTGTGTGATATAGGTCTACTCGGGAACCGAGCACCTAAAAATAGTATTGAAATACAAAATACCCAAAAGTTATTTTTAATAAACCCAATCCATTTTCTTTCGATAGTGGCATGATTGACAAATGTTATGAAACATTTGGGTTTTGACAGCTCTCTCTCGAATCAAAGAGTTTCGTATCATGTAATCTTTGGAACGACTGTTTCTATGTCGTTACCATAGACGTTTGAAATAGGGGAATACCAATTTCTTTTCGATAAATGCCGATATTGCCAACAGGAATACCACATAGCCGTTTTTATTTCGTTTTAAAACGAAAACGATAACGTGTATAACTTCCCTTTTTAATAACTTGCTAAGTGGAACAATGTCGAGCTCCTCCTGATTTTAAAGAATTAACAATAATTAAAACTCCTTACTCAGATAGGAATATGAGATGTAATGAAAGTTTTTGAAAGCGAGATTCGAAATTTTAATGTCGATAACGGGAGCTAAACCGCCTAGTTGATTTTGTTCTAATTTTTTTTGATGAGGACTCAAAACAACAAAAAACGCCGTAAAAAAATATTATGAGCATATGATAATCAAGTATTGCCTTTTCTAAAAACTCTAACCCTGCACAAATGTTGGTGGAAAAGAGTTTAAATAAAATACTTTTGCACACATTTTATTCATGGATTTCTATGTTCGCTTTATTTGTTCTTATTCTTTTGAACACGTCTGTACATACATATACCTATATAAAAATCACTTACTAATGAATTTTGTCATAGCTCATGGGTACAAAATATCTGATAGTTTACAGACATATTTATATATATTAGGGTGCTTTTTTTAAACTATTTTTTCGATCCCATGGTGAAATTTTGTTGGAAATACAAAAAAAAAAGTCCCAGAAAGTTTGAGCTCTTAATATTAATATTCAGTACTAGACCAAGGCCTGTAAAGATTTTCCATCTAAAATACACGTAAATTTTTTTTCTTTTTAATTTTATAACTCAGCGGAATTTTATGGAATTATCTCACCCGTCATTAGGTATTCCTCAGAATTGAACTTTCTACAAAAGTCTCCATTGCGGTAAAGTTATAACTTGCACCTGCGGGGTAGTACGGGCCCACAAACCTAATTTTTCCATGAAATTCGCCTTTTTTTTAATTTTCATTTAAAAATTTATTGTTATTTCAAATTTTTCTGTAGCTAGTGTTGTTTACGAGATAAATCCGAAAAAATGTATATTATAAATATATATATTCTAGCAAGGAGCAATGACTGCAGTTACCTTATGTTTCGAGTAGTTGTCAAGTTATCCATTTCCTCCCACAAAGTTGAAAATTTTTAATATTGTCACGAAGTTTTTAAAAGAACGAAACGTTGGAGACCCTATAACATATATATATATACTGTCTTGATATACGCGAACTAGTCCCTCAGTTTTTCAGACATCTATCTAAAGTTTTGCCCACACCCTTTTCTCCCTAAGAAGCTGCTTACTTGTGGAACTTTTTAATTTGATAAGATAACTTCACGAAATTTGGCACAGATTACAATCCTAGGCAAGCTCCAATCTCCAAATTCTTCAGATCGGGCAGCATATTGTTGCCTTAGAAACTGATCGATCACCATCAATATAAAGACCTTCATTAAATATCATTTTCCATATTAAGTAACATTAATTCGGCTTAAAGGTTATTTATATCCAACAACTTGACCAAAAAGAACAAACATATCGGTATTAAGATTAAGTTATGCATATACTTGTAGTTGCTATAAGAAATGCTCCCGTATGATAACTTCAGTGCAGCCGAAGTTAACATTTTTTGTGATTTGAACATGTCTTATAGCACAAACAGTCACCGACATTCCTCCATTTTGTACTTACCGCCCGTATCAAACCAAATTTGTCAAAAGTTATGCCCGTAGTTGCAACACAGAAATCAGTAGTAGTCTTTTGTTTTAATTTCACCAATATTGCCATTGTTCTATTCGTATACACGATTTTTCACACATTTAGTTTTTTAGTTATAAATTTTCATAATGTAAAAGCTCAAAACTATAATCCAACGATTAAAAATAGTTTACCTATTTATAAATAAGTGTATTAGACTGTGATTTTGAGTTATTTTAAGAATATTTCAAATATATTCAAGCTAATTTTTTAATTACTACAAAATATCGAGATTAGCAACCTTGCGTTGCAAGAGATTGCTCTCTCACTCTCAGCTCTCTCGTTTCTACGGAAAAAATCCAATTTTCGCGGATATCCTACCGTACGGCCTGTTGAAGCGGACGGTAAAAGCGGTGGTGACTGTTCATTTACATTGCGCTCTCATAAGAGAGCTGATTCGGTCGACGGTTTTGCGTCGGTGACTGTTTGTGCCATTATGTGAATTTATTTAGTCAGCGCTCAGGCAGCGTGTGTAGTCATAGTCACATACATAAAGTTGTATGTAATAAAATTGTGCATTTATATTTTATGCAGACAATAAATTTACTTGCTTGCTAGCACACACTGTTAAGTTTTATTGTTCACGATGCGCACCGGGATATGTCCAACAACGTCAAGTGCAGAACGCGTTTTTGCCAGCTGTTGTTTGTTGCTGCTTCTGCTACGTCATCTATCATCCGAAACGAAATCGCAAAAAAACTCGTAAAATAGAATAAAATAAATTTTGTATGAACTCAGTGTTAATTATAAGAGTAGTATAGACCCACCCTTACCATTAGTTTCAGTTTCTGCTGAAAAGTTTATTACGAATTAATTATGATAAATTTTCTGTAATCTAAATTTTCTAATCTTTACAGGGCTTTGGTGTGAATAATATATGAGGTTAAATAATCGGGAAAATTGCTATTAAACAACAAATGTGTATTCTTGTGACAAAGTATCTTCACTCGAGCGTAGCCCCTTTGGTGTATATAAAACACTTCGTATTTTGAAGAGCCAAGCGTTAAAAGTGATGCATGACTTTTGTAAATAATAAGAAAGATGGATTAAATAATAATAAATTTTTTACAACTAGGGGAGTGTCAAGTTCGGGTAGAATCATACATAATAAATTGGTGTTTGTAGTGGCCATAGATTTATCCATGGTAGTGGCATCGCGGACTCGATAGACATGTGTCGATTGGCCTAGAAAATATGTACTGTAAGACTGGGTTCACATGAGGACACCTTTGTCGTCCAAATTGATTTTTGTAAACGAGAGGATGCTCCTTTTGACATTATTTTCATGATTGAAATAGCGCTCAGTTTTAAATAAATATTTATATTTTGTTTGAAAATTTGAATTTTATTATCTACTTTTTGTATGTAAAATGCCAATATGCATATTACTATACTATGTAGAAATATTTTAGAAAAGGATGAACAGAGATAAAACTTAACTAATCAAAAATTTTTTTGTACATGAAGCGTACAAGGATTTGAGAATGTGATATGAAGAAACTGCAGAATATTGACCGACTCAAATTGGTAAACGTATTGAGCGGCACCAAATGAGAATTTGCCGATAATGAGCGACAAAAGCAGTTATCTAACAAGAATAGAAAGGTATTTTTATAGCGCATTTAAGCGTAAGCAGTCTCTAGTCACTATTTGAGACATTTTGAAGTAAAGTCTCAATATGTAACAAGTTACAAAATACTGTCTGAAATTTGTCACCTGATAGTAAGCAGGTCACTAATAAAAATTCTTGTTTTCCATATTGAATATACTGACACTTCACTTATAGAGATCAACGTATGTATATATTAATCGATCGTCGGTTTTTATATTTGGAAAGCAACTTAAAAATGTAAATATAAAAAAAAAATAGATTTAAAATACAAATAAATTTCGGAACTATTGTGATTCAAAGTCAACATTTTATTTTTATTTTTATTGGTAATTATGCTTTTTGACTGCATTATATAAAATTTAATATTTGTTATCAACATTTAATTTTCAAAAGTGCTGAATTCGGATATTAATTAGGGTTAAATTATAATAACGTAAATTGTTGAAACTTCTCTGTGATGTTATTAATTTCTAAATATATATTTATTTTATATAAAAATTCAGTACTTTTGAAAATAAAATGTCGATAACAAATATCAAATTATATATAATAGCGTGGGTAAAAAAGGAATATTTTTTCCGCTTGGTACTCTGAAAAATTGGTTCTTAGACACCAACACCAAAATCTCTTGAGCTCTTAATTGTAACGGTAAGGCCTCCGCCTTAAAGTTTTTGATTTGTTTCTTATTATCAGACAGAAAAATTTATATCTCACCTTCAACTAATTGAAAAAATATCTCGTTTCAGATTTTATAGGAAATTTAATGCTCTACAAAATGGTCTTATACGATTGTTTCGTAAAACTAACCGTTTAAAAGATATTAACGGTTGAAGTTTACTTATTTTAAGGGAATTTGAAATTGAAAAACAAAATCATTTTAAATTGCAAAACTCACAGTTTCAAAAACCCCCTAATATATGTATATATGTCATATCATACTTCTGGTGATACGAATTTTTTTATCTGATAATAAGAAAAAATAGAAAACTGTAAGGCGGAGGGTCTTGCCGTTGCAATTAGAGCTCATAATTGAACAGATTTTCATAGAGCTGTCCTATTTTGCAGTGTCCTAAGCAAAAAAAAATATTTTTTTAGTCCCCCTAATATATATGTATATAACAGGTGATCCAAGTAAAGGTACTTTTTTCATTAGCCTTTTATTAATAGATCTCGCGTGAGTCGATGAGTATTTTTTGGCATTTCATCATGTGAAGACTTATGTCTTAACAACGTTAATAAATCGTTAAACTTTATTACGAAAATTCACATTCTGTAAAGAACGTGTTTCGTGCGCTTCGCCCAACTTTTGGTGAACATAATTGGATAATATTCGACCGAATAGACCAGGTTTAGCACGCAGTAAAGAAAATATAGCGGCCGTAGCTGAGAGTCTACTCGAAGACTGTGGAGAGTCGATTCGGCGCCGTTCGCAGCAACTCGGACTGACAAATGGAACGACTTGGCGCATTTTGAGTCGAGATTAAATAGAAAGCGTACAAAATACAGCTTCGGTCTATAGGCTCTTGAAAAGTTCCAAGAAGATCCGACGTATTCGAACCAAATTTTGTCCACCAATGAGGCCCATTTCTGGCTCAATGGGTAACTTGCCGGATTTGGGACGAATAGCAACCTGAAAAGATTCAAAAGCTGTCATTTCATCCTGAAAAAACAACGGTTTGGTGTGGTTTGTGACCGGTGGAATCATCGGTCCATATTTCTTAAAAAATTATGCCTGTGAGAACGCAACCGTCTCCTTTTTGATTGAACATTTAGTCATCTTTTGTATTGATCAACCCCTTGAGACGTGTTCGACTAAGAAAAGGACAAATTTTTATTCAAAGGAGTGTTAAGCATCCCCAAAAAGTACAATACATATTAAATAAACGCCAGCTACATATGACAAAACAATTAGGGTATTCACAAGGTGTCATATTGTGTCATATCGTCGTATTGTCTTATTTTTGTATGACTGTCATACTCGTATCAACACTGTTGTTGTTTCCCATACAAAATTGAAATACGACAAATAAATCACGGCATGTTTTTTGAGTGTGCTATTCTATCAGCTGTATATGTTTAATTTTTTTATTGTTGACGTTTAAGTGTCTAAAATTAATAAATTAAATAAATTTCGTCAATTTCTTTAATAATATGGAAGGAAGCCACGAAATTCAGGTAAATTATGCTGAAGAAAAGTAAAATAAAAAAATATTTTGTTGTTTCTGTGGTTACAATGTGAACCAAAATGCCGCTGTTTCAACATAAAGAAGCTTTAATTTTATTTTTGTCACATTGCCACCTGGCATTTTTGTATTCTTAATATTTCATTACCAGATGGTGAAGTGTAGAAATATTATTTGTCCCAAAAGTCGCTACCCACACTTTGGAAAACATAAACAGTTTTTTTTTGAACGCTCTGTATGTGCACTTCTCCAATAATAATTATAAGGATTTGACAAGGTTAGATAATGCATAATTGTATGCATTAATTGCTCAATAGTACAATACAAAGTTATATGCAGATGAACATTGCCATATAACTTCATTCATACATACTATTAAAAAATACAAATCATATTTCGTGCATATTTAATATTTTTACCGAAATATCGATCTCTCTGTGACAGTTTATTAATAAAACTCAGAGAGAATATTTTCCTGGTAATAATGTGACCTGTGTTAAGTCTAATATAAAGATATTTAAATTTCTGCTTGATTTGATATCATATATTTATATCGGTCCATAGATATCTTAATGAAAGTCTGACAGTATCTTTTTCTGGCAAAAATATGTTGTGATGCTAAAAATAGATAAAGTCGGTTCAATATTACCCCTAACCCTCATATACATACTTAATATAAGAATTTCACACGTCTGGTTGGCTTTGAGCTGTATACATATACCGGTCGCTATATAAGATATTTTAACAAAATTGCATCTACGTAGACAGCCAAGCAGCAATCAAAGCAATAACTTTGTTTCACATGTCGGCCATAAGTGTCTTGGGAGGTAGGGCAAGAGAGAGCAGTGTCGCCAGGAACAAGTGACTTCGCTTCTACTGGGTGCCAGGTCCCAAAGTGGTGGCAATGAGATAGTGGACGAGATTGCCAAGAGTGGTGTATGGCTGTCATCCGATGACGTGATCGACATTAGTAACCCGTGCATTGTTTTTACGACGATCTGGATAAGATCATGGCAAGAAAGATTTAAACGCCATGGAATAATCTACAGCCAGCAGAATGAGGCTGACGGATCAACATGACTGCTGGCAATGTCAAGAGGAATTCATCAGGGAAACAATGGAACATCTCTTGTGCATTTGTCCAGCATTCAAACTTCAAATATTCATCCACACAGGATGAGACATTGGAACAGGTATCCATAGTGAGGGCTCATAATCTATTGAAATTCGCGTCAATCGCTGGTATACTGAAGGATAGCTACTTCTCATGAACTACGTAACGGTACTCCATTTGGCATCGTTAAAGGCCAAAATTGGTTTATGCGTGGCTCACTAGCCAACAAGACTATTCTAACCTAACCTAATTGAACATATAATATCGGATATACTATATTGCAGTTTAATGTCGAAAATGTGGGAAATCGATATGCGCATTACCCCAGCTGCCATAATAATAATAATAATAATAACCCAACGATTACCCTCCTCCCGCCCAACCGACGCGAGGGGCGCAATCCGCATACGTGCGGAATTTGCCGAGTCAGAGTTTTTAAGTGTTGAGATCTAAAACTGCTCAGCTACAGAAATAAAAATTTCAACAGCCAAGATCTAAAGTTACAATATAATAAATTGTTACATTTTCATTTATTAAGAGAAAACAATAAAGTCTTTTTAATTTTGAAAAGTGAGTCAGATAAGTCAAATGTGCTGGAATGAGAATTAAAATCATGACATATACGGCGGAATGGCTCGTTTAGTTCAAAATTTGATCTACAGGATTTTAGCAGTAAAGGTCTAAACTGCCTCGAAAAGCGAACCGGGATATTAAATTTAATTTCAGACAGGAGAAAAGAACTGCAAACAGTTCCATTCAAAATTTTCACTAAGAATATTATGCCAAACATTTCCCTACGACTAGAAAGTGTAGGTAGATTAATAAGTTTTAAACGACTAGTGTATGGAGGTAGACTTACCCTAGCATCCCATCGGAAATGCGCTAAGACGAAAAGTAAAAATTGTTTTTGAACTGATTCTAACTTGTCAGAATGGATTTGGTAGCTAGGGTTCCATACAACAGAGCCATATTCCAATATAGGTCTAACCAAAGTTGTATAAAGTGTTTTAGTAATATACGGATCTCTAAATTCTTTAGACCAGTTTTGTTTAACACTGAGGACAGCTTTTGCTTTCAAGACCATGGTATCAATATGAAGACTGAAATTAAGCTTAGGGTCCATATTAACTCCTAAATCAACATAGTTAAAAACTTGCTCTAGAATATGGTGTTTTATTACATAAGAAGAGTGGTGCACAGATCTACGGGAAAAGCACATCATCTTACATTTATTGAGATTCAATGGCAAATTATTTCTATCACACCATGCAACCAAATTGTTTAAGTCTGTTCGCAACAGACACCTTTCCTCAGTTGAAGTGTATGATTTAAAAAGCTTTATGTCGTCAGCGTATAATAAAATTTTTGAGAATTCTATTACTGAAGAGATATCGTTATTGAGAGATGAGAGATACAAAAAAATATTAT